TTAATGAGGGATTGGGGTTTAATTGACAGATCAGAACAAACCAGTGCATAATGGTACATGGTGTAAGCCAGTGTCCCTCCTCCATCAGCCAATCAAAAAACTGACTTCTCATCTACAAGAAGCTGCTACTTAAACGTTCCTGTGATCTGGAATCAGAGAAGTTTCTCTTGGTCCTTGGAGACTAGGATTGTTCATGCCTGGTTTAGATCAAAGCAGAATGGCCAAGTCAAAGTGCAGTCTTACAAATCCAATCAATTAAGCATGGGTGGCAAGGCTTGAGACACACCCTGAAAGTTGAAGGGCAGTAAAAGGCAGCCTGTTGTAAACCAGCCTCTTGTTCTATGTTTTGGGTCTCAGCTGTATTGAGAATCAATTGCTTGCTGGAGATGTGGACTACTGAAGTTTTAAATCATTTATCTTATTGTACCCAGTTGCTAACGTTTAGCCATGGCATAAGTAATGGCCAACTTCATGAAGCTTACAGGATGTTCTAAGCGCTGTAAACAACCCGGTCAGGAGTCGGGCCACAAGATCTTTTCCAGCAATAAAATGTCCTTGACTCTACCTTGCTCCGACTTCAGTTGCTAATATATGGAGGCGTGGCCAACACAGACTGAGCGGCTTCATTCACTCACTGCACCAACATTGTCAAACTACAACCCTATGTTGCCAGACAACAATACTAAATCAGTGCAGTAAATCTAGATCATCGATCACAACTTCTCCTTTGCTGATTAGTTTGGTTAAATTTCAACTGGGGAAATCCAGGATGGAGCACCGAAGGGAGATGAAAATTGAGCGGAATTGCATGGGAAGGCAATGGCCAAGTTAAGTAAAAGTACAAAGTAGTTCTTCATAGTTATGCACTACTTTGTGTTGGGATTTCACATAAAGTCGGAACAAAGTGTAAAAATGTGAAACGGCTCCCGAAAATCTTTTTGCAACACAATGTCCAACTAATGGACAAACATTTAACAGCCTGTATTCACTACGTCTTTGCCTTCCACATGCCCAGTGTTAACAGTACATAGAGGTAAACTAAGCGATGCAGTGCTGGGTTAGAGCCTGGAAGATACAGACATGTTGATGTCTGAACCAGACCGTGTGCTTTTTTAGGTTTTCTGAGTAGAAAACATGGGGAGGGGACAACTAAATATTATAGAGAATATTTTTGCCTTTCACAAGGATATGTAACAGAAGAGATCTCATTCCAGACTGAAAACTGTGGAGGAGGGATCTCCATGTGGAAAGACTAATGCAGCGTCTTTTGATGCTCGTTTTCTCATTTAGGGTCTGAAACACCAGAACTTGTGAAGTTGGATTTTGATATTGTTAATCCAAACACATCATGCATAGGAAGAGAAAAATCAAGACATGCCTAAAGCTAACAGGTTTACCAGATCCATCATTTTAGGCTGCTGTTAAATGAGTAAAAAACTATTTTAATAATCACTATTATATTGTTTTTAATGCATAGTGACTGGGCTGCCATTTTTACAGAGGCCCAAGACAAACTTGTCAAGATTTTGCATTTTCTTTCAACAAAAAACACCTTTCCCACAGACACAAGGAGTAGGAAGCATCCAGCATTTGCTGGAATATAAAAATTAAGCCACTAGGTGTCCCTAGTTCTCATACTCAATCTTTAAACAAAAGCTTCACATTAAGGGTTAGTTTGATTTTTTTTTGAGTGATTTTATCCCTTTGCTTCAGTGCTGTGCCACTGAATTACCGTGGCTTAGTGTTTGTGTGCAAACAGGGGTGGGATGTCAACTAACACTTAGAAAACTGTAAACTGGTGAAGTAGGCAGCATGAGCAATATCTCAGAGGCTCCCCCAACTTTCAAAACTTCAAAGGGTTTGAGCAATTCTTGGCGGCATATCTGCAAACTTGCAACATTTAGCCTCTGCTAGACCTGGAGATTTTGTATCCTAGCATCTCCAGATGAGAGTCAAAACTTATCCAAAATCTTTCTCCAAAGTAAGGGCACGTCAATATAAGGGTTGGATGCCTTATATTGATAGAAAAGATCTTGTGTTTGCTCTGTCAACGAATGCCTAGTTCACACGACAAACTTTTTATGCTAAATTTTGTCCCCACGTCCCCCTTTCGACAATCTTAAGGAAACTTGATTATTGTGATATCTCTTATGATCATAAGGGATATTCCTGTCATGTGTGGTGTGTTAAGAATGATCTTGTCTGCTCAGAAGGACTTCATGACCTAAAGTCGATATATTCAACACACTGGATTGTCTTGGTCTGGTATCGCAGTGTGTGTGGTCTTCCCCAAGAACACAGGAGAACTCACACAGCCTAAACCTTCCTTAAAGAGTTATGTAATTCTTCACATTCCTGTAGAGCAGTCAGCTCTTCTATTGAAGAAAATGACAGAGCTGATCACTTTGTTCTCTCCCTGTAATATTTCCATGTCCCAGTCCTGCTGGCACCACCACTCTTCAGTGGGGGTGCTGTTATTGAGTGAAGGAGACTCAAAGTTCGCCATTTGCAGGTGAGGAAAATGTAGGAAGCTAGTTAAAATATTGGCTAAAACATGTCGCTACATGTCTGCTACTCATTTAGGCTGTAAGACAGCAAGAGAAAGTCAGGTGTTCAACAAGAACACCTAAGAAGAAAGAATACTTCTTAGAAATTTATGAGGCAAGGTAAAGATCTACATTCTCTAGATAATACAACCCATTATAACCCTGTTTTACTATGAATGCACTGTCACACACACCATGTGACATTGCCTCTGCTTTTAATGTGAGGCTATTATGCAACCACCAGGTGTCTTCAATCAGTAAGCTACTATGATGCAGATAGCTACAGGAAATCCTTACTGCCCACAACCATCAGCATCTACATGAAGAAACTAAGATAATATGAGTTAAAACATCAACGTTCCCTTTTGGGATTAATAAAGTCTGTTTGAAATTAAATGAATTGGAATAATGAATGAATATTTGCAGCAGGGAGACTAACACCTAGGGTCATATTGATCTAAAAGTATTTCTACTTAAACATAATTGCATGATTTTCTAAGGAAAAAATTCTGAAGTTTTATAACTACAATTATCCTAAATTAGTTCAAGTACTATAAAGTCTTGGCTGTCCAGCTCCAGTAATTAAGGTCTAGTGTCCTGCCAGTCTTAGATGCGTCTCCATCCCAAAACAGCTGATTCAAATGCTCCAACTAACTTATCAGCATGACAATCTTCTGCTAATGATCCATCATTTGATTCAGGTGTGTTGAACCAGGGAAACAACTAAGACTGGCATGATATCAGCTCCTCAGGACTGACTGCACTTCTGCTTTAAATGGAAGACTATAACATTTAAAAAGGAGAAAAACTTCTCTGCCAGATATGTGACAAAGTATGAGGCATAGAATGAAAGAAAATGTTCCATGAGGTTGCAGTTTTCAGGCTGGTGCAAACTGTTCTTCACTGAAAACTAATTTCAAGCTACACAAAGATTTTTAGTCTAAACACTACTTTGAGAGAAAATAGGTATTAACTTTTCTTCAGGCACGTAATATTTGAGAGGAACCTTCTTGACACCAAAACTGCACTTTTCCCATTACATATAGACTTCAACATCTTCTGTTGAACAAAATCAACGATTTATTTTCAATCTAAGGAAGTGCATAAGTTCTTTTAAAAAAAAAGTCTAATTTGCAATATAGGCATAAACTTTTTCCATTTTTAACTTCTGATACTTAAACACTACAGACATGATTCTATTCTCAGAAACAAAATACTGCTATTGAAAATAATGCCACACTTTTGGAAGCATTTTCCCCCAAACTTGTGGAAAACTCTCTGACTCATTGTATCACAGCTTATTTAGGGGCGGCAGTGGCTCAGGAGGTAGGGTTTCGTCATGGAACCGGTGGGTTGCCCGTTCAAACCCACATTCTGTCTGTTTTAGTCAATTTACAGGTGAAGTGTCTCTTAGTAACAAAAAGGTTGCTTTTTGACTTTTGCAGAATCGTTCGAATCCGGTCAATAGCATAGTTAACAGTGCTCATTTGTTAGCAGTGGTAACCAGGGAAGATTTAATAGTTAAGCATAATCAGTGCTTTAGTTTTTCAGCCTATTTATAGCAAAAAACTAATGGAAAAGCCATCCACAACATCGCTTAAGTTACATACGAAATGTGGATCTGTTCTAACTAAAATATCACATCTCCATTTGTTTATATAATATAGAAATAAACTTCATCAACTAATTGACTTTCTTGGCATGTAAAAAGCAAATGTGTTTTTATAAAATAGGTTGCAATAAATTCTTATTGTCTAGCAGCAATAATGGAGATTAAACAGAGATCATCTTTAAGGCAAAGGACACAGGAGTGGTAATGGGGTAGATTCATTCATTTCAACATTCTACGGATAATTAATCAAACTAATTATTCAATTAGAATGTGTAGTTTGTGTGTAATGTTTAACAGACAAACATACTCTATCCATTTTCTGTTGTTACAGCAGCATTTTAAATGCCATTTGGCACATGTGATAGTATAATAATTGTGCATAACATAATCCTATGAGAGCTGGGTAGTAAGAACTACTTTTACTTGAGTAACTTTTTGGGTAAAAAATGCTTTTAGTAGTTTTGGTATATCACATTTTTTTACTATTACTTGAGTATTGTTACTATGAAGTATCACTGCTCTTACTTAAATAAAACTGGGTATTCAACCCACTGCGAGTAACTTCACTGAATGAAGAACAAACATGTTTAAGCCAAAAAAGTACCTGATAAAGAGACACAGAGCTACATTTTATGATGAAGTGAGACCTCTTGTTTGAAGAGGTCTCACTACTTGTTCATCAGGTTTGTTGTTCTGATGATAATTTTTTATCTGATGAAATAATTACAGGTGGAAAAAATACAGTAAACACTACACATTTTCACTGGAAGTGCTTTACCTTGTTCTAACATATATAAAGAAAGATAACTTACTGTATTAGTTTAATATGTTTTATTTATAAAAAAGGTATTTGGAAAAGCATTTGTTCTTCCTTAAATTGTTATTTTGTAATTATGTAATTAATTGGAATCAATTCTTTTCATTTTGGTTTTTCAAAATGCTAAAAAATGCAAATGACTTTGTTTTGTTTGTTTGATGATGTCATTTAAAAATATATGAATGTTCTCATCAGTTACTGAGTACTTGAGCAGCCTTTTTAACAAAATACCTTTTTACTCATGTTGAGTAATTTCTTGGATGGATATGTTTTACTTGAGTACAATTTTTGGGTACTGAACCTCTACATCTTGTCATAAATTGGAAGATGAACCAGGAGTTTCATAATTGCTCATTCTACAACAGTAAGTCCATAACATTGAAAAATTTCCAGCTTTCTGTCATCCAGGGTGATCTGCTTGAAGCAGTCAAGATGGAAAATACAGAAAAAAAAACTTTCTATTTGACAGCTTGAAAAAAAAAATCTAAACTTTCTATTGATATTTCAAACACATATTTCTGCAGAACAGCACTGCTACAAAGCTGGGTTAAAAATCAACCCACTGCTTCTTGCACCGACTAACCAAACACACCAGGAGATTGTCAAACATTTCTTTTTATCCTCACAGTCACTTCAGCAGCCTGTGTAGAAACATTTAAAGGTGCCACAAAGTGAAGAAAATAAAAAGTGGTGCCAACAAGAAAAACTCCATCATCCCAAAGCAATGTCACATAGCAATGTCTGTGAAGAGAGCTACAGGTGGTTCTCTGCTGTGGCTGACTGAGTTCGCTTTAAATCTGCATCTGGAGTAACGCTTCGTTTCCAACTGGCAGCAATGCCGGTTGCCTTAATGAGACGTTTTCTACTTCTGCTCAGAAAATTTTCTGAACTAGAAGAAAACCATAATTTCTAACTTAAATGTTTTACAGGGTTTTCTACCTGATCTTTGTGTAAACATTACAGACATTCTCAGACTCCAAAACTTCTTTGTTCCTTGTGCTCATTTTAAAATGTAAATTTAAAGTTTTCTTTTTTTGAGGTATGAACTGGAAGCCTGCCCATGACATAGCCCTTCTTTCCCTCACTGCTGTCTGGAACACACACGTATGGAAAATGGATGGATGTTTATAAAGTGAGCAGGTTTTTCATATTGCTACTGCAGCAACAAGAACCTAAGTGGAGGAAAGAACTGAAGGCAGGATAAAAGGAAGGAAATAAGGACACAAAGAAGAAATGAGAAAGAAAGAGTGGAAGAATCAATGTCAAAAAGTAGGACATAGCTCAGAGCCAGAACAAGAGAGGAAGAGGACAGGAAGGATGACACTAGAAAAAAAGTTTGATGGGAGGAAAAAAACTAAATTATTTTCCATATAGTTTTCTACACTTATCCAGTACATGAGTGTAGAGAAGTCAAACGACATCCTTATGAACTCTGGATTGAGGATGTGAAATAGTTCTTGTGATATTTTCAGTGCTACAGTGAAAACATGAAGTTTTCCTGGATGGAAGCTCAGTCAGAGGAAATATTTCATCAACAGCTACAGGGCAACTTCCTGTAGCCCCGCATGTGCTCAGACAGGAGAGCAGCCACAGGGGGGCGGTATATCCCTCAGTACCATGCCTCCACCTTAAAATACATAACATAGCCCAAAATAAATAGATAAAAATAAACTGCTGTAACAACAGTACCACATGTTAGCTTCCACCACAGTGAACCTTCAGCTTCTCTTTAGGTTTATGTAGTTTGAAGATCTAAAACATCTAAATCACTTGATACACAGAACAAATGACATCCCTGACACACAACGTCAAATGGGTTTTCATTAGCCACTCATACTGCACTATTCAAAGGCAACGAAGCACAGCTTCTCCTGCAGCAGACAGCTAATGTTCCAGCAGAGTCATCAGACGAGTCGGATGTTTTCACAGTGAAGCACTGGGAGGGTGTCTGCACACCAAACATCACAGCTAGTTTCAGCTGCTGCTCTGCATGGAAACATTGCTGAGCAACATGCCTTTCAGCAAAGCAGTTGCTGCATTTTAAACAACTCATCTCTTGTGCGCTTTGTAAAACTTCAGCAATGACCAAGACATGCAGATTAAGCCTATAAGCATCGCAGCGGTGTTAAACGGGAACAAAGTCTTGATTTTTGCTTCCAGTTGCTGCATAAAGATGATTGTAAACTCATATTAGAAATGTAAATGTATTGTCAGAAGGACTCCAACTTTAACTTATTTTCTTAAGAGTAGAATTAATATAGCAATTCCCCTACAGGAGAAGCTTGATAATCTAATGTCTGCATCCAGGTGTTGAAAGTATCAGTATACGGGATGCAGGCCAAAACACAGCACTGTTCTTTAAATGAGGCGGACGGAGGAGCAGACTGATCCTCACTGCACCGTCTGGTACAGGTAACCTCTCTTGTAGGCGCTCAGCGGGTAGAAGGTGGCCACTACAAACCTCCCGTCGAAGGTTCGGCCGGTCAGCAGCCGCTGGGCTTCTTTGGAGTCGCTAGAGTTGGCGTACTCCACAAACACCTGATGGGAATGAAAGGTTTAAAGGACGAGTGAAAGAAACGATGAATGTTATTGTAGAAACAGTCAGAACACTGAGCACTGATTCAATCTGTCTAAGGCTACGTTCACACAGCAGGTCTACATCCTCTATTCCAAATTTTAGCTGAAATCTGATTTCTTTTGCGTGGTCATTCATACTACTGACTGAATGCGACTCAAATCAGACTTTTAAGTGTGAACATCGTAAGACCCCAAAGCGGAGTGTTGGGTGTGTGGCGGTGAGAGAGGTGCTTCACTGCTGGCACTGCTTGCTCCAGACACTGTTTAATGCATAAACAGATTCTGCAGATTCTGCTGCAGAATCATGACGTGTGTCATGTCAAAGACGTAAAAGATGGATCTGACATATCCAGATTGTAGACACTGTGAAAACTATTGGATATGTTTCTGATTTAGCAGCACATACAGCCTGGTAAAAACCAGCCTCTTTGCTGGACCCTAGATATGGAGGAACTGTTGCTTCCTGGAGGTGTGGACTCTGTTGAAGCTTGAGACTTTAACCAACTGCTAACATTTGATGTAGGTAATGTCCCAGCTTGAAGCTTACTGGAAATTGCCTTCACTGTAAACATCCATCCCTCACTGCAAAGAGAGAGAAGTGCCAAGCTGAACAAGATGGCTGTCAATGTTAAGTTGATATCTGGAAGCATGGCCAACACGGACGGAACGGCTTTGTTCTCTTCCTCTGCTGTTATTGCTAAAACTACAGGCGGACTACAATACTAAAACAGCAGAAAATCGTTCACATCATCTTCTGTTCGCTGATTGGCCCAGAAAAATTTTATAGGCTGAATTCTGTTAGGAAGGCAGTGGACAGGGTATAGCACAAGGTGACACAATTCAGATTTTTTTTTTTTTTCTGAAAAAATTAGGCTGTTCAGACTGCCATGAACATTTGCCTGCTATGTGAACAATGACTGACTTGTTGGTTAAATCCTCTCACCTGCCCTTTTCCAGGATTCTCCTTAGGAATGAGCAGAGAAACCACTGAGCCGTACTTCTGGCACTCCTCTTTCATGTCCTCCAGTATGTCTGGGAACAATAATCAACACAGACTGTTGAGCTTCTGCTTGCATTCACTGTGGGAAGAATTTTAGTAAAGAGCAACTCCTTTTTTTTATTTCCATGTATTTGACCTCATTGGAAAGCTTAGATACTTTCAGAATACGTAAATAACTCAAAATGCCCAAGTAGACCTGTTCATGTCTTTGTCGTCACATTAACCAAACAGCACCACTCTTCTCATTAGGAAAACAAAGAAACAACAGTAAGTGAGTTAAGAGACTAAAATTTTCATTTCAGGTTGCATCATATATTAAGTTGTGTTATCGCAGGGCAATTTTAGGTTAGGTGGTCCATGACTGTTTGTTAAATGGGTTAAGTGGTCCTCAAAAAAGTTTGAGAAACACTGGCCTACAGTAGATTTTAACTGGAACAAAAAAAAAAGAAAAATGAAAAAATACAATAGAAACACACAATACCTTCATACTCTTCGTCATTGTGCAGGTGGCTGTCGTCAATCAGGTTAAGCAGACGCAGAACAGGAGAAGGCAGTAGAACCAGATCCTCTATGTGAGGGGCTGACACACACACACGCACACACACGCACGCACACACACGCAGGTAAATATAGCAGAGTAGGAGCTTCAGGGATGACTGCATGTCTGCAGGGACCTACCGAAGGGAATACTGAAGAACGGGTTGAGCAGGGCAGCTTCAGCTGTGCATCTCTGCTTTGGGTTGTTGAGCAGCATGCTGCACACAGAGCAAACAGCCCACTTCACTGCAGACTACGTCAAGAAACAGAGGCAGAGTCCAGGAGCAAACGCTTACCTTTTAATAAGGTCTCTGAGGTGATAGACTGGGATGGCAGGGCACATCACGCCATTACTGGCAAAGATGCGGTTGACGACGGCAACGCTGTTGTCCTGTAGCCCAGAAACAGAGGCAGTGTGATCTGATTTCATTATCCAACAGATTTGCATTATTAAATATTTCCTTGTTTTAAGCGTAGAAAAACACAGAAGTGTTCAACTGGAGCATGAAAATGAACTCAGCAGTAGCATTTCATTATCACTAGAAACACATTTAATAAAATAAAAGTATTAAAATGTTAACATTTCTAGTTTTAAAAGAATATAAAAGAAATGGTTGAAACTCAATATTTTCCTTAACAAATCCAGTCGTCCTGGTTCTGTGGAGAGTTTGGCAGTACCTTCCAGTCCTGTGAGCGGACGGTGTCTTTCAGTTTAATTCCTGAGAACATCTCCAGCAGGATGACGCCAAGGCTCCACATGTCGATGGCGGCTGTGCAGCCGGAGTCTCCCTCCATCCCAGCCTGGGCCAGGCTGTTCTGGAGCTCGGCTTCCGGGGCTCGATACCCATCCGTCTGGATGTACTTCACATCCTATCAAAACAAATGGATCATTTTAAGAATCCCTGCCAGCCCGTCTTCTATTTTCTCACAGCCCAACATACACACAAACCTGGTTTCCCTGTTTGAAGCTCAGCCCGAAGTCGATGAGCTTGAAGCACTCGTCATCGGCACTCCACAGGATGTTGCGTGGTTTGAGGTCAGCGTGGACGTAGCCTTCCCTGTGAAGGAAGGCAAGAGCCTCCAGGATGTCTCTGGCACAGTGCTGCACCAGCCACATGGAGTGGCCCTTCTGGGGTCTGCTGCAGGGCATCAAACACAGGGGGCCAGCCATTCATTTCTCATGTTATTGGCTTCATTTGCAACTATAAAAGGACAAATATTAGTAGCAGAGCCAACAGCCTTGATTTTAATGAATTTATTTAATCCATTCTTGTTTTCCATGGTGAGATGATTCAATGACAAAAAATATGCTTTTTAAATCCAAGAATTTGGTAAAAGGTGTCATAACAAATAAATCAAGTGGCAACTAATAAGACAACTACAACTGGTTCTTGAAGCTAAATAAACTCTGACTTTCCTGTCTGCAAGTATTCCAGCAGTAAGACAGAAGCTAAGACGCGTAACCTGCCTGCTCCAACCAGAGTCCAAGAGTGACAGTGTGATCAGCAGCAACATGGAGCTGCTTACCTTACACCCTTGACACCATTGCTACGCCTCACCAGCAGCTCCGATACGCTGACATCCAGGAGCTCCAGCAGGAGGCAGCGCGTAGCCACCCCCACACAGTTGTGGTTGGTGAACACGCCATACAGTGTGACTGAGAAACAGGAGGACACATCATGCATCATAAGGAAAGTAATCAAAACTTTTTTCAATTTTGGTCAACTTACAAACACAGGCTTCAACATATTTTAAAGAAAGTACATGCAGTGGTCCAACACAAAGTGCTGTATAACTGGGAAAGCAAATATAAAACATGTTGATACATATAAACATCTGACAATTCCTTCCATCTCTTGATGGTGGATCTAACTTAACTCCAGAGGATGTTCAGGGACTTAGAGAATGTTTTGCAAAGTACCTGCAAAACAGGTACTCTGAGGCCAGTGCAGCAAAAGCTGGTGTTGCAGTGCTAACTTGGAGGGACTAAATGCAACTGCACGCCACTAATATTTTCCAGACAAGTTTCGAAAACAGTGTAATAATTATCTTCCACTTCACTTGAAGTGTAATTCATTTTTAGATCTATTTCACAAACTCCCAAAGAAGAGACTGAGGTTTGAGTTTTAACATGACATAATGTGAATACATTTAAAGTGTGTGAATGCTTTTGACTCGCTCTGCAGATTAACTACTGGAAAGGAAAAACAATAATACCTTTGAGATTTATGCAGAATTTGGCTAATTACTAGCCACAGTTGCAGAAAGCCAAAACTCGGGTAACCCTTCTCCAAAAAGTAAGCAACTAAACACACAGGAAGCAACGTCACCTCTGCAACCACGCACACACTGAAGACGTCGAATATTGCTCTTACCGATGTTCTTATGCCCCTGGATGTCCTCCAGCACGGCCCTCTCTTTGTGATAGCCGTAGTCCCCTCCCTGTGAGTCGCCCTGGAACTCCTTCACTGCGGCCGTGGCAGCTCTGCCGGAGCTGACTTGGTAAACCGAGGCCGACACTCCTTGACCGAGCCGGGACTGAACGGTCCAGATCTCGCCGAAAATCTCAAACAGCACCGGCCTCATGCTCTGGTCCACGCTGACCTGGGACGGGATACTTTCTGGAGCCTGAACCTTGGAGGTTGGCTCGGACGGGACGCAGTGAGCCATCGGAGGGCGACGGAGGAGAGAAAAGCAGAGGAGGGGAGGCAGCTAGTTGAAAGGTGGAAGCAGCTGCAGGAACATTGCGAGCCAAGATCTATGGTCACCTTATCAGCGCTGCTAATTAAACACCTGGACGAGTCAACGCCAGCTAACACACAGCGTGGTTACATCAACAAGCCTGTTTAAAGCCAGCACCGAGTAACGTCGGAGCATATTAGGAGAAGGTTTGCTGTCAAACGAGTCAGCTGACAGATAACGTTAGCCAACTTAGCTTCCACAAACAGTTTAACTAGCCACCGACTTTGAGGGCAAAAACACACCGCTCCCACGGCGGATGGGAGATAACTTCCTCCATAATGCACCAATAACTTCTAAAGCGGCCAAATGTTATATATAAATTCCACAAAAACTAGAGTATCAGAACACTGCGAAGTTTCGCTGAAGTTGTAAATTCAGATTGTTGTCACTTAACTAACTTCCGTTTCTGCTGGATTCATTTCCGTCTTCTCAAACGAAACGTCTGCCCCCTCTCGGTTAGGAGGGTGCTCACACTTAGTGTTTTTTGTATGAAGCTGCTTTTGAAAACCTTAACGTTATTAAAATTTCCACTATGTCATGTTTATACCATAGTAGAAATAAAAATTATATTTTTTCATAAAACGGGCTTGTAATTGAACCCCAAAATATTAAGAATAACGAGACTGTAAAACAGTTCATATCAAAATAAATACATCAATAAAGGTGGACTGCTACCCTAGGGGAATAGTAGAGAAGTTTTGCATCTTGGTGTCTTTGTTCCACAAGATGGTGGCTCTGGTCAGTCTGTCGTGGTAAAGAAAAAGTCGACTCAGATAATCTGACCAAAATAATGAGATCCTAAGTCCAGACTCAGAAGTTCTTGGAGAGAATATATTTCTACTGACTCTGGAATACCTGGGGATCCCCCAGAACAAGTGTGGCAGAGTTTTTGGGTAGATGGATGAACGACCTTTCCTCCTGGGTCTATTACTCTTGTTATCGAGCATTCTAAGAAAAAGTTTGTTGTTGTTGTTGTTTTCCTTTTCTTCTTTAGTTTCCTGACCTTGCAGTCAAAAGATTTGTTGGGATGTCTGGATGTCCACTGGATGGACTTCAGGTGCCTGTTTGGAAATGGCCAAATCCAAGTCTATATGTGTTGGTATTGAATTCCCAGTTGTTCGGCAGCAATAACTATTTATCTCAAGGCATTTATGATTTCTTTAAAACTTGGTATTATGTTAACAACACACCTGTGTGGTCCAGACCAACAAACAGCCCATTGGAAGCATCTGGTTGAATTCCCACACTTCCTGTTGAAACAGCTGTATTGTGTTACTGTTTTCATACACTACTTTCACATTTTGAATTAATTTTTGTTTAATATATACACATGGCTGAGTCTTTTTAAGATTTCAGTGCATTTTAAAATCTGAACATTTCTGTTTAATTGACCATTTTTAACTTTAATTTTAAAAAAGAGCTAATGCATAGTATTTTCGCCGGAAATCGAGGAATGTACTCTTCCGGGAAAAGGAAGCGTCAGCAAAATCAGGGTGTTTTGGAACAGTTTAAACAGAAAGTGGCAGCTCTGCCCTGGAGAAGCTAAAAGAAAAGGAGTTGTTGTTGAAGTAGCAGGTGGCGGTGCAACCTTTAGATCAGCTCTTCGGTGAGTTAAGCGACGCGGAGCGCCATGTTGGTTGTTCTGTCATTTATTTCACTGCTGATAACAAGCAGCCATGCTCTTATTCAGGAGTCAAATCCTAAAGCGAGCGTTACCTCGGTTATTCTGTGAGGCCGCTAAAAGGGTGAGTTAGATCAATGCTGCCTTTTCTGGTCTGCGTATAATTTTTAGCCGTGAATACGGAACAGAAAATGGGGAATATGCCTGCTCATATACGGAGTTCCAAACTGGAGCACCATTCTGCTGGCTAGCTGCCTTTATTAAATGAGCTGCAGGCAGCAGCAACTTGGTTTTACAATTTGAACTGTATAATAAATAGAAGCCGGTGAGAAATAATTTTTAGCACTTAGTTATTGGTTGACTTGAAAATATCCAGCGCGAGTACTTTAAGTCCAGTAAACGCGAGAGCTGTGGTTACAGCAGCTAACAGATGAAGCAGCCAGGGACTACAAGATAAATTCACTTTGGTCACGCGCACAGCTGGCTCCTAGATCCTGAAAGTCACGTGACATTCAAACGACTCGATGTGAAATATTATGGACTGCGTTGTTTTGGGCTAGCCTAGGTTTTCAAGTTTTTGTTAAACTTGAGTCTAACTTATGAATAATTGTGGCAGAAAAAAACGACGAAAGTCTAATTCACCTCTTTGCTGAAGAAAGTTTGTTTGTTAAATTCTTCCATAGGCACGGTTTGTAATGTGTGCAGAGTTTAGTTAGTTTAATATTTTTTTGCTTTCCATTTGGAGCGTGGTACTGAAGTAGTTACAATTAGCCCAAGTGGTATCAGTAGTACCTAAGTTCAAGATAAAATTTTCCTCCATTTATTCCGCTGTCACATCTGCATATTTAAAACTATGAAGTCAGTTTTCACCCATTATGTTGTATCATATCATCCTCATTGCCGTTTGCATAGATTTAGTTAAGTTTTATGTCACCTCAAGCCTCCCCCCCAACCATCCTAGTCAAAGTAGAAAAATTTTAAAATTTACCAGATGTGTCCAAGGTTAGTTTAGTGTATTTCTTAAAGCTTTGAACCTCCAGGTAAACTACTTTCTCTCATCTTTTCTGTGTAAGGTGTTTTGGAGAGGCATGAATGACTTTGCAGTTCTCAACACTGGGCGGAAGATGCCCCTTATTGGACTGGGCACATGGAAGAGTGAGCCTGGAAAGGTAAAAATAGGATTTTATGTTATTCACCTTTTTAAGAGATGCTGTATATTGTCAAAAATGTGTACATCGTTGTATTCAGGTGGTCCAGATGGATAAAATCCTGCACATATAAGTTCACTCAGGAGCTCGGTGAATTTACAACAGATGCCACAAGAATTCTGTTGATACAGATTTATTGCTACTAAATATTACACAGTTAACTGTTGGTGTTATTATAACAAAGTGGAAGTGACTTGCATTTTCAGTCATGAGCTACTAGGCCATAACATGGTGATCAGAACCACCAGTGGACTCTGGAGAAGTGAAGTATTGTTGGAAGACTTGTACAATTATTGTCTCCTTCTGACAATCCAATGGATGTGTCTGGGTTTGGTGGTTACCAGGACAACTGTACTGCCCTGACTCTAGCGCCAAACTAGTAACTTAATGTTATTTTTCTGGGATTCTTTGAAACGTGCAATTAAATGTGAATCTGTCTGTTTTGATTGGATTGATTTGAATTTATTTCTGGATATGGATCATAACTGTTGTGAACTGACATCTACAAATCTACAGAATGTAACTATTTAGCTCATCCACATTACCAATTAAGAATTTTGAATGTATTTAACTGCCCCTAGTGGACAAAAGTCTCAGTGATTTTTAGGGCTGTATAAATAAATCGATTTGGCGATATATATCAATATTTTCCGCCCTAGGAAAGTATTGATTTTTCATCCGCGAGTATCGATCCGTTAAATCATAGGGGTCCATAGCATGACAGCTCTTTTTAACGTCTAGTTTGTTTCGGCGT